TTCTCTGGGGCTTTGCAAAGCCACGGGAAAAGCTGGCAGCGGGACAGCCCAGACGCCCCGCGGCTGTCCCGCTGTCGGCGTCCTCAGAGGCTTTGCTCCCCGTCTCCCTGTTCTGCTGGTCTCCAGCAGACCAGGGAGATGCAGAGCAAACCCCGTTCGTAACTGCGGATCCGACATAAGTCGGATCCGCGTAACTCGGGGACTGCCTGTATATATATTTTTTTCTTCCTCAGGAGTCACTGTTAGTACTATACAAGTTTATTTTGGATAATATGTATTAGACCTGACTTTTGTCAGGGCTTGTCCTTCTCACTAGTTATATATGGTAAGCCAGGGTTCAAACCTACAGCATGCCAGAGTTTGTTGCACAGTAGCTCTTCATATGGACACTGCTACAGAACAGTGGAACTTTCAGTGTGTGGCTTCGTGTACTATGCTTTTAAGCAAAGTTGTTCTAAATGCATTCTGGGACCGTGGCTGCACTGTAGCAGTGTTTTCATAAAACCGGTGCATTGTCCACTGTGCACATAATCCCTTAGTCTTGGTAGCCAGGCCTTTTTAAAATACTGCTATAACAGTAATGTATGGGAGGCTAAAGCAAACATTGGTTGTATTGTAATAAGAGAAGTGTGGCTAATCACAATCTTTTATTATGCTGAGATTTAAAATATTTTTTATTTTTCTCTGGAAAGTGTTTCTAGACTGTGGTCAAGGGGGCATACTTATTCCCTGAATAATACCATGTTAAAATGTATTATAACGATAAGTAAATCGTTTTTGTTCCCCTCCTTCCCCAGCCTTGCCATGTCATTTACACAGATTATCGACCTACTCCTCTGCAACATTATATCTTCCCAGCAGGAGGGGATGGACTCCACCTTGTGGTTGATGAAAATGTGAGACATTTTCCAGTTTGTTTGAAAGATTGTCTGTGCTTTTAATAATTATTAGACTGTTCTTTTTAACATTTGACACTGAATTTTAATTGTGACCACTGATACAACGTATCTTATCCTGCTTGACAGACAAAATGACTTTGTGGGAAAGCTTCTTTCTCCCCTTTTTAAAATTAAATGAACAACAAATTCCTTACCATTGTACTCCGAAGTGCTGTTAAATATCACAGTTGTATGGGACACCAATTATTTTATTTAGTTACCCGTAACTCAGATTGGTATTATGTGCAACATTGAGGTGCTCAAGAGTTTGAGTAGGAGCTTTACCCTTCATGAGGAACTGACTTCATTATCTCCACAGTTTTCCCTTATTTTAAAAACACCGTTTCTCCCCGGATGTGAAAAAAACTTTAAAAAGAAAGAAAGAAAGAAACAAAAAGCAGCCCTTCATGATCCAGAATTACAAAATCTTAAAACACATCTCATACCAGCTTAATGTCACTGGGAGCTGGACTAGACTCAAATAAGGCTACTAATGATTCAGGGTCCAGCAGTTGTCAGTATCAATACAGACCCAAATATTGACAGCATGGTATACTGTTTCTTTGTAAGTTTATATTCTTGCATGCAAACGTGTTTCTACATTCCCCCCATAAAAGGGGTTGCTGGCTAACTTGTGGTAGTGTACGTACTTTAGTTTTTTGATAAATAATATCAGGGGTTTTTTGCTTTTTAATCTGATCTAAAATGTCTTGATTTTGACCAATTATAATGTTTTAATTAGGAAAGTGAAATTGTTTACAAAAGCACATATATTTCTAGGGTGATTTCAGAGAAGATAACTTTAACACGGCAATGCAAGTACTTAGAGATGCAGGTGACTTAGCAAAAGGAGACCAGAAGGGCAGGAAAGGAGGAACAAAAGGTGAGTTTGAAACCTTGTATGTTAAAATGATTCTTATATGCTACAGAGATTAATTGAGTTATTTTAAAACTGCAAACAAGAATGCTGTCAGTGCTTTTTTCTAGATTACCTCTCATTAAGAGACTTTTCTACTTATGCAACTTCTAAAATAATGTTTTGTCTTTCTAGGACCATCAAATGTATTTAAGATAGTGAAAATGATCATGGAAAGGAATTTCCAGCCTGTAATTATATTCAGTTTCAGTAAGAAAGATTGTGAAGCCTATGCCCTTCAGATGACAAAATTAGACTTTAATACAGGTATGGATAAATAAGTTGTAGAGGATTTGCATACAAGATGTGAGGAGCCTTCTAGTCAGTTCTCTACTTTGTTTCAGATTTTTGTATCTAATATGAAAAAGTAGACTTGCAATTCAAAGATATAGAAGCTAATTGTAGTTGGAAATTGCTGGCCTCATGAAAAGATATAAACAGCGCAGTGTTGAGAAGGCTTTTAATTCTGAACCTTAGGGCATGGATATAAACACAGTCATTCAGCAGTACTCTAGTGCACTCTGTGTGGACTCTTACTGTGTTCTAAATTTTCTAGTGCATATTGATGGTCTGTGGTTTGAATGAACAATAAATATATCAATGCAACTAGGGAATTTGTAGTACCCATTAGCTAGGTCTGCATAGACAGTTAATGCATGGCATACTGGAGCACTGAGGATTTACACCTCCATTTGCCATGAAGTAAGTATTTGTGCAGACATGCCCATAGTTTTACCTGCCGTGCATCTTGGAACAGCAGTAATAGTGCAGCTACTTTCAGAAACAGTTGCACAAAGAGAGAAAGGATTGGTCATGTGCCAAGTGGTTCTCCACTCCCCTTCATTAGAGTTGGGATGTTAAGTTCTGGTTAATTGATTAGTCGATTAACCTCATGAATTCTTATCAGTTATTCAAGTATTCTATAGTCCCTGGGGATGAGGCCAGCAGCCAGTGTGCTCTGGCCCCACTCCCAAGGAGCCTGCTGCCACCCAGAGGCAGCAGCGTGGGGTATTAGGCTGGAGCTGATCCACGAGGGGAGCCAATTTAAAAACCAGCTCCCCTTGCAGACCGGCTGCCTGTTGTTCCATGCTGCTGTCTCTGACACAGAATACAGCGGTGTGAGGTGGGAGCAGCCCCTGTCCATGGGCAGGGCTGAGCTCCCAGACCCAGTGCAAGCTGGAACTGAGCTGGGCTTCCTGCCCACCCACCCAGCTCCTAAGACACTTTAAATGCAGAGCTGCAGCAGGGGTAGGTTCTGGACCCAGCGGGAGCCAGGACTGAGATGGGCTCCTGGCCAGCCTGCTAAAAAAATGTACTGGCGGGGGAAATGCGTGTAGTAGGGATGTTAAGGACTAGTCAATTCCCCCCCTCCTCTCCTTGCTCTCTCTATCAGATAGAGGCAGCGAAGAGGGGGTCCTTCAAAATGGCAGTGCCACACAGCTGAGCCTGGGATCAGCTGTGCGGCACTGCCGCTTCGAAACACTGCAATCATTGTTGTTAATTTATGTACAGTAATTCCTCATTTATCACGTGCCCTCTTAACACGTTTTCACAATAGCACGATTTTTTTTTCAGGGAACGTTTTTTGAATTACACGACTGTTGCTGGAATAACATGATTTCCCCAGCCGGCCCGTTGCTGGCAGCTGCACAGGGCTTCCCCTGCCTCCTTGCAAAGCGGTGGAGGGTTTGCCACTTGCCGCACCATTCTCCACTGACTTCCCTCGCCGGAAGCCTTGCCCTCTCTCCTCTGCCCCCGCTTGCAGGACAGCAGTTGGGTTTCCCCAGCTGGCCTGTCACTGGCGGCTGCGCGGGGCTTCCCTCACCTCCCTGCAAAGTGGCGGAGGGTTCGCCGCTCACTGCGCCATTCCTCTCCCTCCCCCCTCACAGCAGACCTGTCACAGGGGCATACTCCCAACCCAATCCCTCTCTCCTCTCCTCCCCTTTCCTTCCCCAGGGCCAAACACCTCTCCTCCCCCAACCTTATGTCCCGGTCCCGACAAACACCACTGCTGGAAATGCAACTCCCACCTTTTCCATTATTTTCAATGGGAAAATTGACTTAGCATAACATGTTTTCACTTAACACTATCATTTTCTGAAACATATCTATAGTGTTAAATGAGAAATGACTGTTTCAATTGTATAAACTAGTTAACTTTAAGAGGTCACTTTCTTTAGCTGAGTATGTAGGCTGACTTTCCAATTTTCAGCATTACTTTTTATAATGTAACCTTTAAAATAGTTAACAGCAATATTTGATATGGTTTACAAAACCAACATGTTGGCATTTGCAGGAATTTTTTTTCTTATGTATAGATGTTTCCTTTTTTCAGATGAAGAAAAGAAGATGGTTGAAGAAGTATTTAATAATGCAATTGACTGTCTGTCTGATGAAGACAAAAAGCTCCCTCAGGTGAGTGAGGAGGTTGCATAAGAAAAATTCTTTGAGGGGTGTCTCTGTGCGCGCTCCACTGCAGGTTTCTTGGCGCCCCTGCGCTTATAATCGGAACTTTATAGCAGCAATATCCCCCCCCCCCCCCCCGGCCAAATGCCATACTCTACCTTAGAGGGCCCCAGCAGACTTGGCACCACTCTTTTCCAGAGAGAGTAAATATGAGGAGGAAATCTTTCTTTCCATGCCACTCCTAGCCAAGCCATCCTCCCAGCTGCAGCAACAACATCAGAGCCAATCCCAGATGTGGTAACCATTCTCATGGTTCCCTCCCATTCCAGTCGTACAGTCATGGCAAGAATGGGTTCTGTAGGGGCCCCTTAGCGCACAAATCACAGCACCACAAGTGATAGCCTCAGTACCTAAACCCCTGGATCTACCCGGTTGGACACTACTCAGGAGGAGACAGAAGATCTTGAGGAGACACAGGAGGATGATACCTTACCTCCATCACACATTATCTAATCCTCCCCTGATGAGTCTATAATGCTCCCTCCACCTACAGTAGGTGACGACTTCAAGTCTTTTCACCCTACGTAAGAAGGTGGCCGATTCCCTGGACATTTTCCCTCGTGGAAGTACCTGAGATACAACATAAATTGACTGACATACTCCAGGCATCAGCGTCATCCAAAATAGCTCTGCTAGTCAATGAGGCCATATTGGATCCAGTAAAGACGCTTAGCAGACTCTAGCCTCCATTTCTCCAGCCCCAAGAGGGGTGGACAGAAAGTACTATGTTCTGCTGAAGGGACAGAAGGGACAGAATATCTGTTTACCCTTCAAGCTCCAAACTCAATTTTGGTGGACGTAGTCTATACCAGGGATAAATAAATCCAATTTAAGTCCATGCCATATAACAAGGACTGGAAGAAGCTGGACATCCTGGGTCAAAAATTGTATTTGTTCGCATCTCCAGATACGAATAGCTAATTATTCTGCATTGCTGGCAAAATAAACTTACTACTGCTTCAAGAAAATGACAATTTTTATTGAGCATCTGCCAGAGAAGTACAAAACTTCATTCATATCCAACGTAGATGAAGGGGTCCTCATAGCCATGATCACGCTGCAGGCTTCACTGGATGCGGTGGACACATGCTTGCTTGCAACGTCAGTGGTCATGCATAAGGCCTCTGGGCTGCACTTGTATGGGTTTCCTAAGGAGGTGTAGAATACGCACCTGTGAGGGGGAGAAGTTATTTTCTACCACAACAGACACTTCTTTACATATGCTCAAGATTTACGAGATATGCTCGAGACCTTGGGCATGTATGTTCCTCAACCTAAAAAGAAGCTAAATCGCCTCTACACTCCATGAGGCAGAGGAGCTTTGACCTCAGACGCTGTAAGAGGCAACAAAAATGCAGGCAACCTCAAGAACATCCTGCCGTGCCTCAGTCCTCCAATGGTAGACAGACCTTTTGAGCATCTGGTCAAGGATTCAACATTGTTTCTGCCAGCCAACCAGTACTGCTTTAGCTTACAGCCCTTCTACCGTGCCTGGTCCCAAATTACAACTGACAGATGAGCTCTAGAAGTAATCTCAAAAGACCTCATGATTCCTTTCCTGGCCTTCCCTCCAGCCTTCTGCCTTGTCCCTCTTCAGAGACCTCTCTCACGAGACTCTTTCTCCAACAAGAGATTCACAAGCTACTCCAGATGGGGGGCAATAGAACTGATACGATCACTTTAGAGAGGAAAGAGCTTTTATTCCAGATACTTTCAAATTCAAAAAATCAGGAGGTTGGAGACCCATTTTGGATTTAGGCAGGCTGAACAGGTACCTAAAATAGCAATGCTTTTAACATGGGCAAGGATAATTCCATCATTGGAAAAAGGAAACTGGACGTCCTTCCTTGACCTACAGCAGGGGTGGCAACCCATTCTGGGCAAAGAGCCAAGATAGCAGTGGTTCCAGCGCAAAGAGCCAGGGAAAAGTTGTTGAGCAAATAAAAGGGGGGCGAGGGGAGACTGCTCCTTTAAGAAACTGTATTTAAATACGTTTTGAGGCTTTTGGGCCACAGCAGGCTCCTGCTGCCATCTTTATTTCTACAGCCTTCATGGCTGTGCTGGATGGCTCCCCTGCCCAGGACAGCACAGGGAGCTGGGAGGAGAGGGCTGTTTTTGAGGGTGCAGGGGCAGCCACAGGAGTACTTCGCAAGCTGCACCTGGGGGGAGGAAGAGCCGCATGCGGCTTGCGAGCCTCAGGTTGGCCACAGCTGACCTACAGGATGCATGCTTTCACTGTGTCTCAGAAAATTTCTTCAGGTTTGCTCTGAAGCACCAGCACTATCGGTACTGAGTCCTGCCCTTTGCCCTATCTTCAATGCCCAGAGTTTTTTCAAAACCTTTACAGTGGCTGCAGCTCATCTCAGAAAATCAGGGATAATAATCTTCCCTTATCTAGACAACTGCCTCATAGTCACTCATACCGAGCAGAGGACCCTGGAGTCCACTTCAAAGACAATTAAACTATTCAACACACTAGGCCTACAGAAAAATACCCAAAAGTCACATCTTTACTGTATTCCAGAAGTTAGAATTCATAGGCACAACTGCATACAAGCTGAAGCCAGACTACCAGCACACACTTCCACTCACTGGCCACATTAGCTCAAACAGTTATAGACAGTCACATAATCTTAACCAGACAGTGCTTACAACCAGTCCTTTTTTTGTTTAAAAAATAAAAATGCTGGTACTCCAGGGGAAAAATTGTTGAGCTCTGACTAGAGGTGCCGGTACTGCGTCTGGAGGTGCTGGTTCTGTGTACTGGGCAGTGCCGTCACTGCTTACAAGTACCTGGACACACGTCCTCAAAACATATGTGGTCCCCTACACCAGATTACACATGCAGTGCCTCCAAGTGTGGCGCCACATAAACCACTTACACAAGCTGAGCTCTACAAAAGGGTGAAAGAATATGGTGGTGGCTGCAGGCTGACAGTCTCTGCAGAGGCATCCCTTTTTTAACAAACTAACCACAGACGCTTCTCTGGAGGGCTCAGGTGTGCACATGATTGACTACAGCACCCATGGAAGATGGACATCTCCAGAATCAGTTTTACACATCAGTGTCCTAGAACTCTGCACAGTAAGAAAAGCATGTGAGTATTTTCTTCCCCTAATTCATGGCAAGTTAGTGAGTATTCTCACTAACAACACAGCTTTTATATAAAATGCCAAGGTGGGGCCAGGACATACCATCTTTGCAAAGAAGCAACAGCTTTGTGGTGCTGGTGCATCCCCTGTCGGATGGCCATATCAGCAGTATATCTCACAAGCAAGCAAAATCTTATCGCAGACCACCTCAGTCAAATATTCCACCACAAACATGAGTGGGAGATCCACCCCTAAGTGCTACATACCATCTTCCAGTTTTAGAGTTATGTGAACATAGACTTATTTGCTACATTCCACAATGCTAAATTCCCTCAAGAACTGTGCTAGAGTGGGACTGGGAAAGAACTCAGTGAGAGATGCCATGATAATCAGTTAGTCTCACAACCTCCTCTATGCCTTCCTGCCTCTTATCTTCCTCAACAAAGTCATAAAGAATATAAAACAAGACAGAGCCAGAATCATTCTGGTAGCACTCCTATGGCCCAGGCAGACCTGGTTTCCTTATCTGTCTCAGTTATCAGCTGCTCCTTCGATTCCTCTTCTGTAGTGGCAGAACATACTGTCTCAGGACCAGGGCAATGTTCTTCATCCTGACATCCACAAGCTCCATCTCAAGAACTGACTGCCCCAGGGTTGACTCCACATGGTGCTACCAGAATGACGTGTACTCAATTTTCTAGGTAACTTTTAATGACTGACTTTTTAATAAGGTGTACATCTCCAAATAGGTGGAAAACATTTTTTAATCTACAGTTGCTCAAATGCACTGAGTGATATTGATCCTCTACTCTCTACCAAATTTTGCATTTGCAATTTTGTAGTCGAGTTAACAGAGCAGCTGCACACAGATTTATAGAACAATGGTTGCATCTTTACAATTAAAAATATAAACATATAAAAACTGAGTTTGTAAAATACTGTAAAAAGAATCTGCAAAAGTGGTGAGGTGTCTTGTGGCACCTTATAGACTAACCGAAATGTGGGAGCATAAGCTTTCGTGGGCAAAGACCCACTTCATCCTCTGATACTGTAAAAAGAATACATTTGTAACAATTGCTTAAAATAATGGATTCATATTTTTTTTATTAAAAATCTCCTGAAAGTCCCTAGCCTACATGAAGCCATTGAGGCAGTACAGGAAGCTTTTGACTTCTGTTAACTTTACTTCCTTATGTGACTTCATAAGGATCTCTGTTGAAAAATCTTGGTGTACATAACCAGTAAACATGCTCAGAAATTATTTTTCTATCACTTATACTACTTTATCTTCCTCAAAACCTAAAGAAAGATGCTACTCTCTATTATGGACTACTAGTATGCAGAGTTATAGCTTTCAAAGTAGAGCCATTCTTATGTTTATAAGAACAGCTGACAGAACAATAGAAAGATTGATTTTTATTTTTTTCGTCCGTTTAACTTACATAACTGTTTTAATGTAGTTTACACCTCTTATTTCCTGGTCTTAAAAAATCAGTTTTGTTCTGAGACTATCAATGGGGAAAGTTCAGCCTTTGAGTTTTTGGGAAAGTTGAGAGCAATTGAAAATGGACATTCAGAGTGGTGAAAAAATTTAAACTATTTTACAGCCTAAACTGTAGCTTGTGTGTTATATATGTTCTAGATATACACACAGAGATATAGATATGATGCTTGTAACCATGTAATTATATGCATGGGATATGAGAGAGGTTGATATTTTGTCTGTTGTAGACAGACACCAAATCCTTAAAGAATAGTTGGATCAGTTTTTGGGTAGAAACAAAAAAGTTGATAATTTTTGACGCTGAAGCTGAACAAAACATGTTCTAATTTATAAAGCTAGCCAAGTGAGTATATTTGCTTAAAATAATTTTGGACTCTTAGATTTGATTAAAATAATTTAAATTGTTCAGAATTTGAACTACATAGTGTTTGCAGACAGAACATTTTGCTTTCATAGTACAAGATAATTCGAGATTATACATTTATGATCAAATGGTAGCCAAACAAAGCCTTTTTTATATGTGTTTGAAGACATTGATTTACCAAAAGTGCTGCATGTGGGTAGGAAAACTATTAGAGAAACTTTTCAAATTTTAAAAATTATTTAGAAATGTGATTAGCAGTAAGACAGTGTTGAATGATGTTCAGCATGTTGAACTCATAATGAATGTCCTTGAACAAAGCTTTGAGTATTCAGAATGTTGACTAACTAAGGGATCTGATTTGCTGAAATTGACAGTGATTATAGTCTTCATTTTTTTTTTATTTGCTAGTCTGGATATATGAGTTTATCAGTTCAGTAGTCTTATTTTCCTTCTCCTTTGGAAGCAATAGGTAAGGTGCTACTTGGGCATACTGGCAGGGTCAAGTTTGTTTCACTGGATACTGTTCATGACTTTGGGAATATCTGTTTCCACTGACTGGGAGAGGAAATATCAAAACATCCCATATGTTCTCATTCTATTTGGCTACATAAACACATCCATTTCCAGTGAGTGCTCAAGGACCACAAGAATGTAGAGCCTTCTGTTTCTTTCCAAAGTCACTTATATACTCTTTCACAGTGAATTGAGAGAATTTTCCTGGTTAACTTTGAATGGCTAGACGCTAGTAAGTCTTGTGGCTCAGAGACTTTTCTTATAAGTGATCAGTGGTGTGAGATCAAGTAGCTAAAACAGACCTGTCTTTTGACCACTCTTTATTGGGGGTGAATGTTTGACTTATTAAAGGTCTGTGTCTCTTTGTACTTAAAATTGTTAAATGCTTTACACACAACTGTTATCTTTTTTGTTTTAAAAGTATATCAATATAGACATATTTGTTTACTCTTTACGTTCACAGGTTGAGCATGTGCTTCCTCTTTTGAAGCGAGGAATTGGCATCCATCATGGTGGTTTGCTCCCAATTTTAAAGGAAACAATTGAAATTCTTTTTTCTGAAGGATTGATAAAGGTATATAGTTAATATCTCTATACTTAAGTGCAATTCTGAGTGTTTATTTTTCATAATTATTTTAGCTTTGTCTAACTTGAAAATGTACAGTAGTGCATCGTGGGGCAGTAGAACCTCAAAGATACAAACGTACTATCTAACCGACACCCTGTAAAACCAGAAGTCCTCAGTCAGGCTGCTTGTACTGCACAGACTTTAAAAAACAAACCAAAAAAGCAGCAAATACTATACTGCATCAGTGCTTCATCCACTAGAGTGTTGGGGCTGCCACTGGAGGGAGAAGGGGGCCTTAAGGCCAGAGGTTAGAGTCTTGGGGATTCTGATCTTTGGGAGCACAGGGACTCAGGACTTTAGACCCAGGAGAGCACAAGGGCTTGAGCCCTGTAGCTCTGCTCCTGGTTTCTGTGGGAGATGGGTTACGGGGGATTGGAGCTCTCTGTTCCCAGTTGTGGGAGGAAGCAGGGGTTAGTTGTGTTGGTAATGCTGGTTTCAGCATCAGAGTCCCCTTCCTCTCCCTGTGCTAAAGCCGGGAGCCCTAATGCTCAATATAAGATTGTCGTCGTAAGAAAATTACACATCTTCAAAAGACAGGCTGGAAATTTATATTCCTAACTCTGCTGGACGCTAAAAATCATGTACCTAACAGAGATACTAGTTTTATGACCCATTACAACAACTTGTTAACCCACCTTGCTTCCTACAAACTCTTGATTGTCCAACAACTTCAAAAGTATTAATTGTCCATTTCATTTTAAGCTGTCTCTTACAACATGTTTGAGTCTCGTATGCTTAACAATCCGTTCCACCAATAAGCAAAAGTTTATAGATTAATAATATCGACTACATGCATTTCTTCCCCATGCTCCTGCCAGTACATTTTTTTAGCAGGCTGGCCAGCAGCTCGGCTCAGTCCTGGCTTGCAGCGGGTCCGGGACCTACGCCTGCTGTGGTGTTACATTTAAAGTGTATTATGAGCTGGGCAAGCAGACAGCCCAACTCAGTTCCAGCTTGCGCTGGGTCCAAGGAGCTGACTCTCTGCCCCCAGACAAGGGCTGCTGCCACCCCATGCTGCTGTCTCTTTATCAGAGGCAATAGCACAGGGTGACAGGCCGCTGGTCCACGAGGGAAGCTGGTTTTTAAGCTGGCTCCTCTCGCAGACAAGTTGCTGCCTCTGTATCAGAGACAACAGAATGGGATTGCAGGGGGCTCCTTGGGAGTGGGGTGCACTGGCTGCTGACCCCTCCCAGGACTATAGAATAATTGAGTAACCTATAAGAATTCATGCGGTTACTCGACTATTCAATTAACCGATATTTAACATCCCTAGTTCCATCTTGTATTTATCTTATCCTCTAGTTTCCTTCTCCAGACCTGAAAAAGAGCTCTCTGAAGCTTGAAAGCTTGTCCCTTCTACCAACAAAAGTTGATCCAATAAAAGATATTTCTCCACATACATTGTTTGTCTCCTTTTCTGGGACTAGCACATCTACAGCAAAACTGGAAACACATTATTTAATACCTTTGTAGCTGATCGTCTATATACTCCGCACTCATCCTAGGTTTATTGTAGGCTGAATTCAGCTCTCAGTATTGAGATTTAATTAAAATAAAAGCCTTAAAATGAATAGTGCTTTCAAGGAATGAAAATAGTTGCTACTACTATGGGGTGGAGAGTAGAAATATTCCCAGCAGAAATTACAACTACATACAGGTTGGACCTCCCTGGTCTGGTCCCCTTGGAACCTGACCAGTCACGAATGAGGAAATTTACTGGGAGGTCTTCTGCTGCCCCACCCTGTAGCTGGCTCTGCTCCAGCCCCTCTACTACTGGCCAGCAGCTCGCTGCCACATGGCTTGGGCTTAGATGCCTCTTGCTGGCTGGGGCTCCCCAACCTCCATCCTGCTGCTTCCCCACTCAGCTGGGCTCCCCAGCGAAGGAGCTCACTAGCTGCTCGTGGCCCTGTTTCTGCCATGTCCTGCCAGGGCTCCCTACAGTGGCCCTGCTTCTGCTGCACCCCACTGGCTCACTGGCATTGCTTCTGCCCCGCTTAGCCATGGTTCCCTGGGGATGGGGCTCCCTGGCCACTGCTACCCCCTCTGTTGCCGGCCCAGGCTGGGGATCCCGGCTGCTGGCCTCCGGCCAGCTCTCACTCCCAGCCACTGAAGCTCTCTGATCTAACAGCATCATGACCATGGATGCTGCAGGACCAGAGTTCTGGATTTAAGAGGCTCAACCTGTACCCACATATATTGTAATTGTGATTTTTTTTTTTAAAGAACAATATTCTAAGCTCTTGTTGAAGGCATTGCTTGTAAATCACTAATTTGTCTATATTTTTCATTACTGAAGTACCATTGCTGACTTTTTGGGTTAAAATAATGTGTTAAAATTTAAATCAATTTTCATATAATTGATCTGCAGTAATTTTGGCAAAGTTGTGATAAAGTTTGAAAGATTAAAAAAAATATTTTAAAGAGAACAGCGAAAGAAAGAATTCTGTGCTCTCATTTTTGTCGTATGTTACCCCCCCCACACACCACTCCACGTCTTTTTTTTTCCCCCCCCCCCTCCCGCATCTGTCTTTTTTCGTACCCTTTCCCTGTATATTTAAATTCTCAGCTTGATCAAGAGGTTTAAATAATAGAGACCTTCCTGGTGCATTGATGTAAACAAAAAATCCTGTTGGGAGCTGAGGTTACTAAATGATCACAGAATCTGGGTCAAAACGATAAGTCTTACTAACAGAATAGTTTAGAATGACTACTGACTTCATGGTGTTCAATATTTAATGCAAGGTTCATCTCTTAGACTTTTGCTTTCTGTCCAGTTTACGTGTGCATACATAGACATTATTTAATATGTTTCTCCTGCGGGAGGAAAGATTGTTCTTGTTCCAGATTTTAGTGCTCTGGATATTTTCCTTTTGCCAGATAAGGAAGGGGGACAGAAGTACTGTATCATAAATACTTAAGTATCATAAATAAGATACTGGAAGTGTTAAGAAAAATAACGACAGCATTTTATGTAATGTAATGAACAGTTCAGGTGAATAAATGTTTGCATTTTCAGGCATGTATTGTACATTGTAAATCTGATTAAAATGTGGGAAAGTCTTAAGTAACTACTTCTAACCATTTATATGTTATCAGATTAAAAGTTCTTATTTTGTAGTTTAATATTCTATTTATTTAGGCTTTATTTGCAACTGAGACCTTTGCTATGGGAATTAATATGCCGGCTAGGACAGTGCTGTTCACAAGTGCCCGTAAATTTGATGGGAAAGATTTCAGATGGGTAAGTGCAGTTCAGCATACACTGATGAATAATTTGTGATTTTAGTTGTTTAAATTTATATTGAAGATAGTTTTGAGAAATGAATTTTTTTAGAGACACTTTATCCACCGCAGTAAAAATTCATACATCAAAGCTCTATTTTGTTCATAATCAATGTAATTTTTAAATAATTTACAATTTATATTAAAATGTTCATATCTGTAACTGTACACTTTAAAACTCCAGGTTTATTATAGGGTATGCATAAAGATGCACTTCATATTAGTAAAAATAGCAAAAAGGTACCCAAACATAGGCTTGATCTATATGTCCAAAAACTTTGAAAAATTCTACACGATCTGTCAGAATTTTCCCCAGCAAATCATTGATTGTTTTCCCCGTTCCTATGAAAAATCTCAGAAAGTAGCTTTCTAGAATCTAATGCAAAATCTAGTAGTCATTAGGCACTTAGGTGACACTCTCCACCACAATTTGAGTTGATCAGGATGGAAATACAGTGTTTGCTATTATCAGCATACCAAAGACACTTGGGTTTATACTTTTTCACTAACCTCTTCCTCTCCCAGTAGCCCCGATATATTCGCTGCATAACCGCCCATCCCCTCAAACAAACAAATAACCCACCACTGACATCTAAAGGCTTTCCTATGCAAGGTCATGCAAGAGGGTTTTTCTGTATTATCTAAAAGTGGATTAGATAAATTGTATTAAACCTGTATGTGGACTCGCATTCAGAATCAAAGTGCTTTTAATTTTTTTAGTTTCAACCAAATTCAGGTCATTTAAATTCTGAATGAGACCATCCACACAGAGATGTAATACAGTTTAACCAATCCACTTTTATTTCACACCTGTTGTTAATGTTAATGTGTAGTCAACTATATGATCAACCGATAAACCTTAATCTTATCGACTGCGTGCATCCCTCCCCCCCACTTCTTGCCTTTGTCTCGGAGGCAGTTGGGGGCAGGGGAGCTGGTGCGCATGAGGAGTGGCTTTAAGCATGTTCCCCATGAATACCAAATCTGCCTGCCTCTCCCCCCTGTGCTGTTGCCTCGGATAAAGAGGCAGCATTGTAGAGATGAGGGGGGGTAGGCTGAAGCCGATACACACAGGCAGCTGGCTTTCAAGTCGTTCCCCACGGGTATTGCTTCTACAGACCCACGTGCCCCCTCTCTTGCTTTGTCCTACAGAGGCAGGGGGTGGAGCATGCATGAGCTGGTGCTGCCTGCCCCATCCCCCATGCTGCTGCCTCTATCTGAGGCAGCAGCACTGGGGGAGGGGCGGTAGGAGAGGCTGCCACAAAGCAGCCTCTGTCTGTAGCAGGCCTGACCTCCCTGTGGACCAAGGCTGCTTGACATTCTAGGGAGCATCCTTGGTCTGCAGTGACCCTGGGCCCACCGCGGGCAGAGGCTGCTTTGCAGCAGCAGTCCCTATCCACGGGGGTTCTGTGGTCCCTGGGGACAGAAGCAGACATGCAGGGCGGTAGGCAGCCAGTCTGCATGGGAAGCTGATTTTTAAACTGGCTCCACTCATGAACCAGCTTTGTCTGCCATTCTGTGTTTCCCTGCCTCTGCTACAGAGGCAGCAGCACAGGGTGGCAAGGGGCTTGCAGGGAGTGGGACTGGGGGAGGACTGACTGGCCCCACCCCTGAGGACTATTGAATTATCATGTAACCACTAAGATGTTATGTGACTAATTACATGGTATCTAACATCCCTACTATATGACCCTGCAATGTGGACAATAGAAGTGATTTGCAGTACGAACTGAAAAGTTGACCTGCAGTTACAGTACGTCATTTTACTGTGTACTGCAGCTCACATCCTCCTCACCCCCCTTCCCCACCCCACCATCTCCCCGGGAGGCATTATAGACAATCCCTTAGTTGTGGACTTGTGGGCTTCTTCACAATGAAAAGTTCACATCTGTTATTACCACTCTGTCGTATTTAGTAATGCAATTCTTGGTCATTGTAACATACAACTGGATCAATGCGCCGCTGCCTGATTTCTGTCGCTTAAATTACAACAAGAATTAAGGGTGGTTTTGGGGGTTTTGTTCTTCTAGATCTCGTCAGGTGAATATATTCAGATGTCTGGTCGTGCAGGACGTCGCGGTATGGATGACAGAGGAATAGTAATTCTTATGGTGGATGAGAAAATGAGTCCAACAATTGGCAAACAACTTCTTAAGGTATACTGAACATTATGATTATTTAAATACAGTGGATATGAAAGCTGAATGGAATTAAACGTGATGCATTTGAAAAGTTTCCTTGCATGAAACTCCACTTTCTCTTCAAATGGTGGCACAAAGAATCCTGCAGCACCTAATCGCAGATAGTTAATACAGACTAATAATGGCCTACGAGAGAAGCATTAGGAATAAGTTCAGTATTTCAGAAGTTGCATTTGACTGAAACATCATTAATTTTAGTAGCCTGTAAAATATTTCTTGCTTTAAAAAAAAAACAAAACAAAAAAACAACCCATAAACTTTGACTTTTTATCAAAAACCTTCCAAATCTTTGAGCATTTTCTTATTATAAACATTTGTCAAGCTTCTTTCTTAAACTCAGAAGCAGGCGAATCTCAGCTGTAATATACAGTAAAACTCCGATGGTCCGGCATCTGACGGTCCGGCACTCCTGATGATCCGGCACCATCAGGAACCCAGAAGTGCTTCGTGCAGCCGCACCATTGGAGCTGCTCTGCCCCCAGCTTCCCCTATACAGCCACTGCTAAAACTGACCAGTGGCTGAATCCGGGAAGCCGGAGGCAGAGCAGCTGGGGCGCTGCCGGGTAGGTCCCCTAGCGCTGCCCCTCGGGGCTGCGGGACCAACCGGGCAGCACCCCAGGTGTCCCCGATTCAGCCGTTGCTGAAACTAACCAGCGGCTGACTCCAGGAAGCCCGAGGCAGAGCTGCTCTGCCCCATCTTCCTGGAAACAGCCCCTGATCAGTTTCAGCAGCAGCTGACTTGGGGATACCTGGGGTGCTGCCCGGTTGGTCCCGCAGCCCCGAGGAGTGGCGCTGCGGACCCAACCCAGCAGCACCCCAGCTGCTCTGCCTCAGGCGTCTCCGATTCAGCAGCTGCTGGTCAGTTTCAGCAGCGGCTGAATCAGGGATGCCTGGGGCAGAGCCGGACTATTGGAAGAGGGGGCTATAAGGGGTCTGGGGTGGCATCCCCCCCACCCCAGATCCCTCATAGCCCCCCCTTCCGATAGTCCAGCATGTCTGATAATCCGGCATCCCCTGGGTCCCAAAGGTGCCGGATTATCAGAAGTTTACTGTAGTTTAATATTGTTTATCCAGAGCATTTGTTTGACCAGTGGATAGTTAATTGTTTGACACAAACATGTTTTAATAAAATGAAATGCCTATAGTGCAGTTGTAGAACTTTCAAGTAGTAAAAATTAAACAATCACGTATTTATATATTTTGTCTCATTCCAAAACATTTTAGAAATTCAAACTATTATACTAATTATAATTATACCAATTGCATAGAAATTGCTTCGTCCACTATGGAAATACAGCCATTACTAGGGAGAAGTACAGCAGTTTAATAGTGAGCAGCAACATTAATTTAAGCAGGAATTAAAGTTTCTTTCTAAATTAAATGGCAATTACCACAGCTGTGATGTAGTCAAGGCACCAGTATTACTATGTATTTTTATAAAGAGCATTGTGGTGGTGTTTAATGAACTCATGCAATCTGGCCTTCTGTTTTGTCTCACGAAAGTTGAAAATCCTAGCATAATTATAGGAAGAAAATAACTAATTGTATAATAAAAAAGAATGTGTTTATGTAAGTACACTACAAAGACTTGAGTGGATCATTTTTAGCATCCACTTGTTTGTGGGGAAAATTGCATGTATTGAAAAATTGAAAGAATATGTTATTTATTTTAAAATGTGGCCAGATAAAATATCCAATATTTTGCTTTCTTTGTTTGTGTATGGAATGTTCAGAGCTGTAGTGCCAATCTGTAGATGGTGTACCATCTGGCTGCTTGGCAGAATCTTGATTTAATCAGTTCGCAGCTCAGGGCTTGTTCATCCTGCAGGCAACCCAGAAATGTCTAGTCGTCTTTTGTTTAATTTAATTTTAATTCATATGTTGTTACTCCAGCAAACTATCACAGATTTTTCTATCCATCACACACACATGATCTTTTGTGTATCTCTGTGCAGTTAATTAAAAGGGCTCAATTGAGTGTTCCTACATAACGTGGGGTGACGGGAGTTGCTGGAGGTATATAAAATGAGTGGTACCGAAAAAATAAATTAAATACTTCTATTTATTCTTTGCCATAAAGGAAGGAACAAACAGACATTCAATTGAATTGAATGCAACATATTTAAAACTGATAGAAGGAAATATTTTTCTTTAAAGGATATCTGCAGAACAGTTTGATACAAAATGTCATTGGGGCCAAGAGGATAGTATGCAGGGAGGTGTTAATTTTAATAAAATGGCATGGATATGGAGATTATCTGAACTTAAATTAGCTAAGAAAAAATACATATGTATCTCCCTGAATCATAAAGGATCAAGCACCATAGGATTAGAAGATATTCTTCCCTCATGGCCAGGTTATTCCTTTATTTCTCCTTTTGTTTTTTCTTGTTCCTACCTCTGAAGAATCTGGTATAAATTATTGTTAAGAGATACAGAACTGACTAGAGCACTGATTTGATCCCATAAAGCACTTATATTCATAAGCATGTTTCCTCACATGTATGATTTTAAATTGGACTATACAACAAAACTTATAAATGTGCTCTAATGAATTAGAACATGATATGGAGATAGGGATTCTGGTTTTTAATTTCATAACCCTATTGGGCAAGTATGATTATTCAGGGTACTAAAATATCTGGTCTATTAAAATAATTTGGTTTTATTGTGACATATCTGCTGTAACAGTAGCAATATAAAGGAAAAACTCAAAAATTTAATGAGTTGTCCCAATTTTGGATCTGGGGGTTCATGTAACTATACTGGGGTGTTTCCTGTTTTTTGCTTCCAGTATTTTCCAATATCTGTTATATCTAACTGCTCAGGAATTTGTACTCTAGTCTTTGCTGTCTGGCAAGGATTAAAACTATGATTAAGGCTACAGCACAAATTCTTTTGAAAACACAGAACAGATGATTTTGTCTGAAGTGGGGATTTATTGCATCCCCTTACTGTACATAGCTGCCACTGAAGGTGAGGACAATGCTGTTCTCCTTCCCATTCCCTAAATCAGTGAAAGCAGGATGTAGCCAGTTCTTGGATGGTATATGGTAATTGTTTAACAGTATACAGCAAAACAATGTGGCAGTATAGCCCAAGAAGGGAAAGATATATGCTATTTGTTAGAATGTATAGTGAATTTTCTGAGGCAACATGGACATGAATTGGACTTTGGGTGGAACATTATGACTGACATCTTTTCTCTTACGAAAATATAGTGGAGTCTTCAGTGTTCTTGATTTTTCCATCCCACCTAAAACAGTACACTTGCTTTTTTTTTATTTTTTTCCCTATTTTAACAGTGTTTACAGAGGAATAACATTTGTACTTTGTTTCTCCTTACTCCTGGTTCTGAGTGATAAATATGAATTTTCTGTGTTTGACCTTGTTCTTGTGATGCAACCATATTAGAGATCAAAAGACTTCAAGTGTGGTATAAACTGCAAAAGCAGAACCATTCCAGCTGCACACTATCCATTTATAAACATCAACTGAGCACGTCAACTTAATTGCAGCCTTGAAGCCTGGTTTGATGCAAAGCTCATTCAGCTATAAACCAAGTATCCACTTGTGTGGGCATCATTTGTAGAATGTACCAGACCCTAATTTGCTAGATGACTTGACCTTCAGTCAGAGGCTGACATGAATTACATGGTGGCAGGGCCACTGGGGGCAGTTAAGTGTAACCTTTCTACTGGTTTATGTATAAATTGATAAAATTAAAAATTATTTCACTTTGGTGGGAAGAATACTTACATCTTGAAATCATCAACCTCTCTTTTGTAGTTTTTAAAAACCTGTAGTTCAGCTCAGAGAGGTTTGTTATTGTTTCAGCAGAGGTTAAGGCAATGGAAGGCAACCCATAGCCTATTGAGGTTCTGTGTGTGGCCCACGAGACATTTTGTCCATGTGCAGGGTTGTAGATTCCACGAGTTTCCAGCCACTTAGTTTTTTTCCTATTGGTATTACTAAAGTGACACATATATAAAGCAAAGGTATATGAAATGGTGCGTTCTGATTGCATTGACTGCTAGAGCCATGTGCTCCCTCTGTACCCAGTCAGAGTACTTCTGTAGTTCAATTGGCACACCCTACAAATTCCAGGTACACAAGTGCAGAAAGCAAAATTACCCTGTCCTTAAAGGATGGTCTTGGCTATGACAATGTTATGGTCCATTGAGATGAAGGGCTACTCACGGAGTCCTCAAACCAGCTTAGGTTGCCCATCATTGGATTAAAGTGTTCAGTCATAAAACTGTAAGTTACTGGTATGCCTATTTGAAATGACAACATTCAGAAGCTCTTGTTTAACAAAGTTTTTATTAAAACAAGCAGCAAATGTTAAGCATTGCATTGAATCTTCTTAGTATATACTTCCATTTGGACCCCCAAGATAAAATTTAAATTTAACACTTTTTATTCTGTAACTTCTGAAAAATGACTTCACTTTATATTAAAAGTTCAGTGTAAAAAGTTTCTGAAAATGTTCTCGAAACATGATTTGAGAACTTCTGAAAATCAGTCAGAAGATTGGGGTCTATTATATGAGTGGGTTAGTGAGGTTTTGCGGCAATGTGCAGGAGGTTAAGACTAGGTGATCACAAATAGTCCCTTTTGACTGATGTCTGAGTGTCAGTCCAGATAAAGTTAGAAATGTGAGAGTGACTGTTTCTTCTCTTCGTTTGTATTAAGATGAAGTCTAAGAGCCCCATGTGGGAAGCACTATATAAACTGTGACAGACCCAGACCAGCTGGCTGCCACACTCCAATGGAGGGCAATGATTTCCTCTTCCCTGAGTAAATGGGGCTGAGCCTAGTGCAGCATAATCAGTCAGGCACGTGGGGCCAATTAAAAGCTTCCCTGAAGCAGCAGGCTAATCAGGGTGCTTGCAGCCCATTAAGGCCTGCTGAGGCTTGTTTATAAGCCTCCCTTATACACTGAGGACTGCAATGAGACAGAGTGCTGTGGAGGAGCGAGACAGACTTGCTCAGGCACCAGAGGAAAAGTACTCGGAGTGATTATTTGGAGAAGTGGCCCAGGGAAGACTGGGAGTAAAAGAAACCCTGTCTGTTGCCATTGCCTTTGGGTCCCTGGGCCAGAACCTGAAGTAGTGGATTGGTCTGGATTTCCCCCAACCGTTCCCATGTCACTATAGAGTTTGCCCCTGAAAGGGGAGACCAGGACTGCAGAAGGGTTTTTATACCAAACTGAGTATGGCTCAGTAGGCTGTGACCCTTGCCTCTAGAAAAGATGAGGCTGTGCGGAGACCCTCAGCAAGCCTCTGAGGAAAACACAATCCGTCAAAAGCACAGGACCTTCAGGGCACAGCCAGAGCTTTGCCACAGAACAGACAGTCCCTGCCCCAAAGAGCTTACAGTCTGAGTAAAAGGCAGGAGATAACATGGGACAGTTTAAGGACAATATTAGTGTAAATTATGCTAATCTCTATCCTTTTAAAGTAGAGAAGTGAATATTTATTAAGCCCAATTTCTTACATTTCCCCCCTCTGCTCCCTATTGTTTATTTGGGGGAAGGAGATGGTTGGGCGATGGCAACCATAGATTATCTATCTCTACAACACACGTCCTTTTTAAGTCCAAGATGTAAGCTACCACAATGGATGTGCATAAGATCAAACATCCACTTAGTGTTAATTCCAGCCTCGTATTTTCATGCTATATACTGACTTGACTTCATATCTAATAAAGAAAATATTTTAACCTACCTGAGGTGGGAATTAAAATTGTGTATTTTTGGGGGTTGTAATTAAATGGATAAATGCATTATGGATAAAATACTGGAATTGGAAGAGACTTGTGGAGCAAAAGAGTCTGTGAATAAGCATTAATGACATTGGTAAAAACATGTCATTAAAGGATACTAGAGATGTGAACGATGGTTTAACTATTGACTTCCTGGATGTTTACTTTATTGATAGAAATTACTTGACCAGTCTTTACTTTTTAATGGCGATGAAGTCTCTGAGGAGAGAGAGAGAAATTTGCCCAAATGTATAACACTGTTTTAGATTCTGATTCTGATTATAAACATTATTTCTCACCAGTATGATCAATATTTTGTCAGTTCTAATCAGCAGGGCTTGACAAAGCCGCTCACCAGCCCCGCACTGCGCATGCGCAAGAGCCACATTGAGCATGCGCGTGCTGCTGGTAAACGGGGTGCGCAGCTGAAATCTATTCACCTCAGGCGAGTAGATTCTAAAGTTTGTCAAGCCCTGCTAATAAGTATTATGATTTACTCATTGATACTCAAATTCTTCTTAAAATGTATTAGAAGTTTGAATTATAGTATATTATAAGGAATGGTTAGAATGGAATTGGACATTCTCAAGTGCCTGTTTCATAGCTCCCATAGTAACTATGTTGCTGATCAGCAAATTTATCAAATAGATACTGATACCAGTTGGCAAAAAATGTTATATCTTCAAATATAAATGCAAAACCAAGACTCCTATGTGAATTTTTTAGTTATAGCTTCCAGAATTAAGCTATGGAAAGCTGATCAGTAGCAAACTACAGTGGTATAATGCGCAGTTAACACTTTTTTGGAGGAAACAAATTTTTCCCTTTAAATCAGAGGTGAGGAACCCTCAGAGCTGGGGGCCTTATGTGGCCCCCCCTCCTTGCCTGGATCTGACCCCCAAGTCTCAGCCCTCACTCCCAGCATTGAGGAGTCTGCTCCAGCCCTCCTACTGCCATATCAGTATGGGCGGTGGGTTGTGTGATGCGGTTGTCTTTGCTTCCCATTTGTGTGCAGCACATGGCTGATTTTTCTCTGTGTCAGTGGTTCCTGACCCAAAAAAGGTTCCCCACCTTTGCCTTATATCTTGATATCATGGTATTAGACAGATATAGTGGTCTACTAGTTTCTTTGGTTTTCACTTTATTTTCCTTTCACAAATAAATCCTTTTAACTGCATTGCTTTTTGTCACTTCCAGTCTGTTTTTAGCCATTGAATATTTTTCATCAAATGAGGTGACCTCATATTTCACTTTCACAAAGTGTGTAGATTAATATGTAATTTCTGTTCAGTTTCTTCCAAACTGTTAGACATACTTGTCAAGTTCTGCAGAGCTGTCAGTTGTACATTCCTTAACAGATTAAAATGGAAAATGTCTTGAAGTATTATGATATGTTAATGTTTGATCAAAGTGCATCAGTTTCAGTGGGAAAGCAGGTCTCCCTAACAGGGAAGCACAGCTACCAAACTGGCTTTTTGTGAATTTCAGCTTCTGGGTCAAGCACACCTCACTAGACCTGCCTGAAGTAAATTACTGATTTAACAGACCCATGCTTCACTGGCCTAGTGAAACAAGCTATGAATATCTTCCAAAATGTAGGCATTCCTTGTGGTACAACAGTGCCTTCCATCTAAAAGAGTCCTGTCCTTTATAATAAGTTAATCCCTAGCAGCATAACAGAACATGCATTATCATAGCTGCTTGTGTGTAATGTGGTGACAAATCTTGCAGTCTTTGTCTTGTTAGATTTTTGATAAGTGAAGAGGAAATACTCTTTCACAGGTGGCATGCTATGAAAAAGTTTTTTTTGCAACTAAATAGTTAAAGATGTGGTACAGAGGGTGAATATGGCCTATATGTATTGTAGTGGGTTCATTCCCTTTTTTTCTTTTTGCCCGGCTCTTCCCTCCAAGGTAGCCAGTTGGGGGAAGTAGCTGGCTGCTCGGACACCCCATTTGGGTGTGATGGTGGCTTCAGGACACTGCCTACCGGCAGTGACTCCTCGGTTGTTCCGCACCCTCCTTCTGGGGGAGAGTCCATGTTGTTGTAGTCCACTTCTCCAGGGTCCTCCCGATGCTTGGGGACCTCCAGTTCTTCTCCTGGGGGACTCTTAACTCCGCTCGTGCTGTCCTGGCCTCAGGACCCCTGCCAGCCCCTTAACAGCCCCTCTGGGCAGGCTGCAGGATCTCCAGGCCCCTACTCCCTGGGCCTCTGCCTGCCTGGTTGCCTCCTGTACTTATGGGCTGGGGCTTCCCTGGCTCGGCCTCCCCCTGACTACCACAGCTGCATCCTATGCGGCTCGGCCCCTTAGGACTGCCTCCTTTCCTCGCCCCGGCCCTTCCTGACTGCCTCCTATGCAGCACTGGGCCTCAGGCCAGGTAGCCTGGGTTCCTCCTGCCTGAGCCTCCCCAGTCCTGCCCACTCCAGGGAGCCTTCTTCCCTGGCCATCAGGTCTTAACTGCTCTCTCCTCCAGAGCAGCAGGCAGGTCCCTCTCTCCTCCTAGGAGCTGTTCTTATAGCCCTCAGCTGGGCTTCCCTCCCTCCAGCTCCTTGGCCCCGTAAAGGGCTAGGGCAGGGCAACACCTTGCCACAGTATATATACGTTTAAAGATGCTAATGGAGACACTAGATTATTTTATACAAATAAATCATTCTCATGATTATATAAATCATTCTCCTATAAATGAGGATCAATTAAATAAGATGGGGTGGGCAATAATTTTTGATGGGGGGGGCCCACTCCAAGATTTGGGAAAGTGGTTGAGGGCCAAACTCTTCCATGATATTAATGGAGGAGATGCAGGGTCTGGGTTGGAGGTTTGGTGCAGAAGGGAGATTGGAGTGCAGGGGAGAGACTGGAGTCTGAGAGGAAGTTGGGATTAGGCAGACGGTTGTGACCTAGGGCAGGGGCCTGGAGTGCAGGGGTTTGGGATGTGATCTAGGGTAGGAGGGGATTGTGATCTGGGGCAGGAGACTGGGGTGCCAGATCTGGGAGGAAGTATGGGTGCAAGAGGGGGACAGAGGGTTTGGGTATGTTGGAGGCGGGGGGAGAGTTGGGGCAGAAAAGGGCTGCACTGCCAGAACCAGGGTGTGGCCAAAAGACTTACTTGTCAGCTGCCAAACTTGCCTGCCTGCCTTCAGAGCTTAAAATGTTTCCCAGCCAGCCTGCCTGGCCATGTTCTTCGTGAATAACTCAGCCCAGGAGAGGGGGCATAATTCTTCTTAACTGCTTGTTGTTTTAAACAAGCAGCTCCCATTGGCATGGGAATGTGCTGGGGGCTCCTAAAACTCCCCCTCCCCACCTCTCCCCCATCCGGCGAGCCAGATTCAGCCCATGGACTTTATTTTGCCCAGGCCTGATGTAAGCGGTTCTCATTGCCACTGACTTAGCGAACTTTCCTGCTTCACAGGGATATATAAAGCTTTGTTGTGTTTCTTGGATGTTCATCATGCAGCTAGTTAGGCTCAGATGTGAGATCTAGAAAATATTGTGGAACCTACATCCAAAGCCTATATCCAAAGTTATACAAAGTACCAGTGTAATCATTTTTTCATGTGACACGGTGTCAAGTATTGTGCATTGCTTTGATTGTGCTATAACTAATATTTTGTGTGTGGGTGTCTTTTTTTTTTTTTTTTTTTTTAAGCAATTGGGGGGAGGATGGTTTAAAATAGGTCGGCGGATCCTCTAAACAGTGCTTTTCACTTGACTTACAACATGGTATTGAACTTGCTCCGGGTAGAAGAAATTAATCCTGAATACATGTTAGAAAAATCGTTCTACCAATTTCAACACTACAGAGCTATTCCAGGAGTAGTAGAAAGTAAGTTTTATGCATATTGCATACTTACCAATGTGAGAGACTTGTCAGGATGTGTTAAGTATGGGGTTGGATAGCTAAGAGAGACTGTTACGTTTGTAATGATAATCCACTCAAAGATTCTAGTCCGGCCTTTCCTTTACTTGTAGCAGAATGCTTAGTGCACTTGCTGTTGTGACTGTGGGTGGGAGGGGTTTACAGGGAGGGGTTTCTGTTGTCCTGGCATGTGCGCCTTTTTTGGGAACTGAATTTGTTCCATTGGATAAGACAAAGTTTGTCATTACATTGCAAATTGTGTAGGAGAGGAAGAGGAGCCAAAATAAAAAGTATCTTTGGACTCCTGGGAGATACAGGCAAGGTTTCTGTTCATGTTAAAACAGAGATAAATCAAACTGAATTAATGTTAATAGCATATATCAGTATCTAAAAGAAAATTAAGTCCTATGGTATCTAAACTACCAGAAAAAAAGATACTGTAGTCAGGCTTTGTTAAATAGTCTGTAAAATTGGTGAGCTATGAAGAAAACTCCAGATGGAAACAAAGCTTTTGTTTTTTTTACTCCTTTGAGTGACTAGCTTTGTGATCCTTGCCCTGCATGCTTTAAACTGTATTTCCATGAACTAAGATGAATTTCCATAGTGTCAATCAGTTGTTAACAGTTCAAACTCCTCCAGGACCTTTACCCAATGGAATCCCCAAACCACAGCAGATGTATCTACTACTTCTGCCAGTGAAGAATAAGTGATCCACCTTTTTAATGGGGGAAAAATTAGATCTACACTAGCCTTATAATTTTGTTTTTTGGCATCCCATTTCTATTTAATTTTAAATAGAAAATTTATAAAGAAAGTGATTTTCAAATACTATTTTTTTTAACGAGTCTTTGCTTTTATATGTGAATCTGTACATTAACACAAGATTGATTTGTTTTATTGTAGAGGTAAATAAATTAGAAGAACAGTACAACAAAATAGAAATTCCAAATGAGGAAAGCGTGGTCATCTACTATAAAATCCGGCAGCAGCTTGCTAAGCTGGGTAAAGAAATTGAAGAATATGTTCACAAGCCAAAATACTGCTTGCCGTTTTTACAGCCAGGCCGGCTGGTAAAGGTAAATTGCTTCTCTTTTTCATCTTCCCTTGCCCATCAAACATTCAAGGCTTGGGTCTACTTGCCAGTTGATTCTCTGGAAAAATGTTTTGTCCCAGGTGAACAGTAAATTTGATTTTAATCAAATTATTTAACTTTTCTTTAGGGTTGAGTGTTTAATGAGGTTTTCTTCAAAGTCTGCTTTGTTATAAATTACAGCAATCCATAAACAGACTGAGGAAGAGATGTGTGTAACTCAAAACCATGTCTCTCTCAAACAGAAATTGGTCCAAAACCCACCTTGTTTTGTCTCTACTAGCCTGGGACCAACATGGCTACCACAGTCCTTAAAGTATACTTATCATTGTACTTTTCTCTAGTTTTTATAATACACTCATCTTTTCAGGTAAAAAATGAAGATGATGATTTTGGCTGGGGAGTGGTTGTTAACTTCTCCAAGAAATCAAATGTTAAGGTAAAATTATACACTTTTCCCTCCAATTAAAGATGCCTGTTTTCGCTAAATGTGTAGAAAGATGAAATGGAAGGGTAAAAATCTGCATTTTTAGTTTTTTTTTTTTTTTTTTTTTCATAAGCACCCCCTCCCAAAAGTCTGTTATCTTGGTAGAAAAACTACAAGAGGCCCAGGCCTTTGCACACTTTTCACACTGAAGGAACAAAGAAAAAGGTTCTTGGAAGTTGGGGGAGAGACCCTCACCATGAGTCCTATCTTTTGGTCGGGGCCATTCCAAGATTTTGGAAAATTACAAATGGGTTCATTGAGATGGAATTCTCTTCCATGGGATATTCACATGGCTCCAATGCTAGTATTGTTTTGGCATCAGGCTAAAGCCACCCTTTTTACTCATGCTTTTATTAATGTTTGAGTCTGTATGTGTATGTTCCTTTTCTCGATAAGTGTTTAGCAGATTTTATGTCCCTTTGGGGTCTCGTATTTTAAATTTTTATGTATATTTGTATTGTGTTTAAAATTTTTGTAAGCCGCCTGGATTATTTTAAATAGAGAGGCAGGGTAAAAATATTTTAAATAAAAATAAATAGATACATGAATAAAATAAAAAGTACAGCTATATTTGGTTAAGCTTTATTTCCAATACACTGTGCAGTGCCTACATATTGCAGCATTTAAAAGGGATTACTCTCTGCAGGGGTCAGATCAAGAGTATGGCAGGGCCTTTTTATTTTTCTGGCACTCCTGTTGACAGTCACTCTCTAGTGCAGTGATTCCCAAACTTAGGGTTGTGACTCAGTACTGGGGCACTGAGTCGGCAGCAGAGGTGAAAGTAAGCGGGTGAGCCTTGGAGTGCAGCTCTGATAAGAACTGGCTTGGGCACGCTGCTCTGCAGGAGGCAGGCAGAAAATTTTAAGGGGCTGGCTGGGTACACTCTGTAGGGGAGTCACGCATGCATGTTCCCAGCCAGGCAACTGGGAAGTGCTGGCAACAGCTTTCATCTGGCCATGGTGCCCGGCCCCGCTCCTGCCTCAGAGTGGGGTGCAGAATTGGGCCCCTCCGACTGCACTGCGGCTGCTGCAGCACAGCCCCAGCTTCGGCTCTGGTCTGTCAAATAGGAAGGACGGGCGATGGTGACCCAGCTCCTGCTGTGACGGCCTGGTTTTAGTGTGGGTGGGTGGCGGGGGCATGTTTGTGCCAGAATTGGCCCATCTGGCTACAGTTGCGGAAGCCCAGCCTCAATTCTGAGGCAGGCCCGGTGGTCTAGCCCTCATCTGGCCATGGCCCCACTCATGATGCTGTGGCCAAGCCCCAGCCTGCCTCCTGCAGGGGAGGTGGAGCACGGAATTGGCCTCTGTCTGTCTGTGCCATGGCTGCAGCAGCACGGCTCTGGCTGTGGCCCTGATCTGCTGCTATGCCCCCAGCGTTGCACTTGCAGGAGAGGAAGGGACCAGAATCGCTCTCTGAGCAGCTGTGGCAGCTGGGCCCCAATCTTGGGGCAGGCTCCGCAGTCTGGTCCCCATCTGTCTGTGGCCCCACGCCTGCTGCAGTGGCCCAGTCTTTCCCCAAGTACCTCAGCCCTGCTCCTTCGTGGTGGTGGCAGGAAAGGAGGTGGAATTGGCTGCAGTCTGGACCAGGCATGTTAACTGACCACTAAAGCAGTGGTTTTCAAACTTTTCTTGTGACCCAGTTGGGAAAAATCATTCTGCCTGTGACCCAATAATTTTATCTTTTTAGAGTGGTTCCTCCCCCTCCCCCTGGCTGCTGGGGAGCTTTCCCACTCCTCCCCCCACACCCATTGCCCCAGTCCTCTGCCCTGACTCCTACAGCCCACAGCCCTCTGCTCTGAACCTCCTGCATTCCGTCACACACTTACATTTCTTATAGGTACTGTTGTATTGCAAACACCTCTGCCACCCCACCTGCCATTCTCCCTATTCCTCCCTCTTCCCCC